TGTGTGTGTGTGTGTGTGTGTGTGTGTGTGTGTGTGTGTGTGTTGCGGGGTGCTTTATTGCTTTCCTCGCTCATGTTTTTGTTGGTTGGGGGGAAGTGGAGTATTGTTGTCGGGATCGATAGCTTTGTGAGTGGGTCATGAAATTTAGGGGTTTATCGATAATCATAGCAGTGATTATTAGTGTCTGTCGCTGCTCTGAGCAACACAAGCTGCTGTTACCTGGATGGATAATTTACCCCCCCCCCCCCTTTTTTTTTTGCTAAAGAGAAACTTATGATGGATTTCAAATTATTAATGATGCAAAATTGTCATCAGTGAATCATTTCAAGACACAAGGATAAACTATTTTTCTACATTTATTCATGAATTTCTGTCATCAGATCTTTTTTATGGTTGGTGTGAATTAATTCTTATTGATACTCAAGAAGATTGAATGTTTGCAGTGTTCTCAACCTGAGTTGAGATTTGAACACATTCGAAGTATTCAAACATTTTTCTCAAAATAAACACAAAGCTACCGTGAGAATCTCCAGCCCATCTTGAACTTTCCTAAATTGTTTTGAGCATCTCCAAATGCTCCCCACAGTGCTCGCTGTATTTAGACACCAGCACCTGAGCTCTCTTCTGACAGTAAACGTCCCAAAATGTTGAACTCTAAAAGCTACGCTGATTATAAATAATAAGTAATAATTGTTTGAATAAAAAAGGTTCTAAATTTACCTGAGTTCAAGCTAATAGAGTATATTCGATCAGATTGAATTATAAACGTGTGGGTGACAAAATAATTTGCACAGCCAAGATTGCAATTGTGCGAGCTTTGCACACAAATGTACGCCGTGATTTTCAAATTCTGTCTGCTCAGAACGCTGACGCTCCTGTTGGTTGCTCAGTCGCTGACTTCAGTAAGAATAAAATGGAAAATTCATGTAATTTCTCACTATTTTCCTGCAGTTTTGAGTCACTAACTAGTCTCTCAACAGTCACATCTCAGTGAGGTAACAACGTAAGAGGATTTCCAAAGAGCTGTTTGCTGAAAACTTGGGGAAAATGGATTTACTCCTTTTTTCTTTAAAAACAACACAACATGACTTTCAGATATTGTTCATTTGCTGTAGATATGTTTTTTGGCTTGATTCTACCTCTAAGAAATTTTATAGATCAGTAACTAGCTGACCAAAAAGTCACTGTAGACTGGAGAATATTTGTGGGTTTTTTTCTTCTGCTACCTTTCATTAAATTTTTTTTATTTGTACTTTTGATTTTTGTTGAATTTATGTTGTTGTTTGTAAAGAAATGAATGAACTAACTGAACTGAACTGTTTGTGGTACATTGGGTGTATTTTGACTTGGTAGTGTTACTACGTATTGGTGCAGAAAGGCCCTGCCACACTATATAATGTTTTACACAACTTAAAATATCTTGTGAAAATTTTGTCTAACACTAAAGGTAGAATTTTATAAGAATCTGCTGGAAGCCTCTTTTGGGCGTGTACATACTGAAATGTTAACGATTCGATTGAATAAATAACCTGTTAGTAATTTGGACATAAAATTTTCATACGTCTGCATCATTTGTCTAAAATATTAGTGTGACAGGATCTTTACCAGCCAATCAGCATCCAGCTCTGTCACATTTTACTTAATGTTGTGACCTGTTTCTTCCACATTCATATTGTTTCCTGTTTGACCCTCAGTTGTGTAGCAGTGCATCACCCAGCAGCGTGTGTAACTGGTATAATAGTCCCAGGCTGTGTGTTTCTGAGCGGAGGGGTCAAAGTGTTTGTAATTGGCACGCGTTGCAGATATGAAGCCCCCCACAGGGGCACGGCGTGCTTCTTCTGATTCACGACAGTGGGGTCTCAGTGACCCTTGAACCAGAATGAAAAATTAACCTCGCTCTCGATTGACATTTCAGCTCCAGCTGAGCTAATGTTAGAAATATTAACAAACGTTACCTTCTAACATATTTGTTTACTACATGCAGGTGCCAACCCCCTGCAGGCCAATGGTTTGGGACACACACCACGGGCCTATGCTAAGGAGGGAGAAGTGAGCACGGTGCTGCAGGAGTGGGAGGGCAAGGTACAGCACATTCATACAGATACAAACTCTGATTAAATTGTCTATTTGTACTGTATATGCTCTGCAGAATGTTTAAGCAGCTACAATAAGATTACTCTCTATTCTTACGAAGGTCCTTCGGCCTGGTCTGAATGACACAGCACTGTGCACCCAACAGACATCTGGCTCGTTTATTTGCCATCATGCACCCAGTCAGGCACTCCTCAGGAGGCCTGTCTCAGTCGTCACTGACTGACAGGTGCTATTCAGGATTAAACTTGTGAAAGCTGGTCGGGGTTAACTGGGGTTAAAAACCTGAGGTGGCTGATTGATTAGTGTTGGGTTAGAAAATACTTGGACTTTAATACAGTTTTGTTATCATTTAAGCAGTGTGGGTTTAAAAGATGAAACTCAGATTTCATTTGAGGGACAACAGAGGTGAGCAGAGGTGGACAACAAAATGTGCATGACCAAAACATGCAGTGTTTCACACAGCTGTTTACCAGCTAGTCTTCAACAGTTCCAGCCCAACGAGACATCACATTAAGAGTTCTTAAACATATATATATAATATAACAAGCTCCTAAGTTACATGTCCTGTAGTAACTTTGAATTAACTACTACCTTTTAGCTTCTTGAAATACAATAAAAAGTCTAGGTGCACATACTGTAAATAAAGGCTGAAACCTGTTTGAGTTTAATTACATTCAAACATGAGTCTTTTGCCATGTTTCCGTCCACGTGGCTGATTTCTAAAAGGTACGAACAGTTAAACTGCGTCAGTGTTACAAGAGTGTTACAAGATGTGGCACTTTCCATCCTTGCCCTTTACAGGATAACTGTTTTTATTTTCCTATCCGTGACCTCTGTTCTGCAGTAACTGCTCTCTGGAGATGAGGAAAGTGATAGGCGTTATTAGATTGTGCAGCTGTTTATAAACCAATAGTAAACATGTCGCCAAGTGCAAACCTGTGGCATTTTGATGTATTTATCTTCATTTCTTTGTTTTTTGCACTGCAGCGGAGATCTGAAACAAAGAAAAATAAGTCCAGTTATCATTTGGATGAATAATTATTAAAAAGCGATCAGAAAACCAGTAAGAGAAATATTGGAACACATCAAATCTATTTTAAAAGGCTTATTAGTGTGAATAAAAAGGTTTTTGTTAGTTGTTTAGACATGTAAAAACCCAGTGTATTACAGATCTGATTTTGTGCTGTAATAAAATCTGTTTTTCTTTTTTTTAGAGCAATCTTTCTGAACAGCTCACCTTTTTCTTTTACTGTGGTGGAAGTGTGCTCTGCCTTTTTGTAAATAAAACTCGAGTTATCTATAGTTATCTACCAGGCTGACAGCAGGCAGGAGCTAAGCAAGATGGAGGGAGAGAATAAACAGCCTGCCTCCACTGCAGGGGGAAACCGGGAGTCTACGGAGACAAAAAGGGGAAGGATAAATGAGCCACAGGGAGGTCAAGCAGAAAGAAAGGGAAGAAGAACGAGAAGCATTGAGGAGAAAAACAGAAGCAAAGGCATTAAAGAGGAAGAATAAGACTAGATGATGGCTGAAACATAGGATAACAAATCCTACAGTGAAATGAAACCATGAAGCTTTGTTAAAAATAAATTAATATATTATTTATTTATATTAATTGTTTTCACTTGGGCTGGGTATCACTTGGACACGATGATTCAATATGATTCTCGATACAATGCAGCTCGATACGATTCGATTTGGATACATATTGCTTTATTTCTCAATGATGCTGACTCAGCAAAACCAGCAAATATTATACAACTAAATCAGCATTAATTAATTCTCATATGTCAATCAATATCAATCAATATTAGAAGAATGAAATTTTATACAATATCATTTTTTTAAAATATGTCGATTTTTATTCACAGCCCTAGTTTTGACAGGGATTTTGTGTAAATGACACTACAGCACCTTCGTTAGGTCACTTTAACCGAATGTTGTTGTTCTTATGAAGTCTGTCTTTAATCATTAATTTGTTTGCATCAAAATGAGAAACATGTTTTATATCATTTCAAACAATTCAAATAAGATCATATTTATCCAGGTTTGTCTTGCACCTTTACCACTTTGTCAACGTGTTTAATATTGAAGATAAACATAAAGCTTAGTCAAACTTAGTTACTTTTGAGTTGCACCCATCTCCCCTGCTTGAGGCGGCTGGTGCAGTGGCAGGACAGTCATCTTGAAACCAGAAAGTCACAGGTTTGGTTCCCTGCCATGCCCACATGTTTTAAAAAGTTCAGGTCTTCAGCCTGCTGACATGGAATCTTCTGCTCGGCTCGTCTCGCTTGGAACCTCAGCTGAGTTTGTTTGAAGAACAGGGCTGAAAGTGGGCGGGATTACATAATGTAAGAACGCTGAACCCATACCGGGCCGGGTCAAGCGAATCGTAAAAGGGCCCGTACATTTATTGTCTTTTTATTTTCAGTAACCCCAATTTGTTGTCATAATTTTTGACTACAGCTGTTTGACACATTTTGGTAATAAAGTCATGTTTACAGAGGTTAAGAGACAATAATAATTAAATAAAAACCTATGTAATTTGATTATTTGAAAAAATAAATGGTGACTATATAGACAAAAGAGGAGAATCACTACAAACTTGTTTTCCATGAGACTTACTTTAAGCCTAATGTACTTTGATTTTCCTTCTTTCCTTTGATACCGTCTCAAATAACTCCCTCCTTTTTCCAGATTCATTGACTGTCTTGTTTTATTTGCTAATCTTTTTCTTTTTTATCTTTGTTTAGTTCAAGGAGTTGCAGGCTCAACGGGAGGCAGCGGAAAGGAGGAGGTTCCCCCTAGAGAGGAGGCTGAAGGAGCACATCATCGGACAGGAAGGAGCCATCAACACGGTGGCTTCAGGTAGAAAAACTACAGATATAATTGGAAGCATCTACAAATAGTCCACACAGAGAACATGAGTTGATGTTTTTACACCACAGCCTTGTTCTCTCTGTGTTCTTTCCATCTTTCCTCTCATCTGTTTTTGTTATGCCCTCTCCTCCTGCTCTCCTCCTTTCCCCGCAGCAGTAGGCGGGTTCAGACAGACGGGAGGAGGCTGTAATTGGTTAATTGTGATGAATGAGTTGTCTGTCAGGCGTACACAGGTGTTGTGTGTGTATGCGCGTGAGAGATAAAGACAGCTGAGGAGGCCAGGCTTGGAGCCGCCAGTTAACACAATTACGACGAGAGGAAACATACTACAGACCCCCACAAACCTCCTCCCCTGCTCCCTCCATCCTTCTGCTCCCTCCATCTTTCTTTTCCCCCTCTTTTCACCTGCATCTCCATCACACCAGTCTCCTTCACTCCTCTGTCCTTTCCTGCTTGTGGAGATAAAGGGATAAAATGACAGCAAGGAATACACATGAGGTAAAATAACTTTAAACACATAAAAAAGAAACACATATTAGAAGAAGAGCTGAGGACCTGGTGGAAAGAGAGTAGCTCCAGCGTATAGAAACGAGAAGGGTGGATGAGTTAAAGCACAATAACACAGAAGACAGTAAAGAGCTGATATTACAGCAGGCATCCATGGAGGCCATGTGTTGTATTGATCTGCAGATGAGCGAGTGGGACTTAATGTTCAGAGATGGTTCTGCAACTAACGGAGAGGCCATTTGTTATTTTTATGATTTTTTTCTCCTTTTTTTTACATTTTCTGTTTGGATTTGTGAAAATAATAAAGCTCTTTTCAAAACTAGAAGCTGGTATTAGTGTGTGGTGTGTAAGGGAGGACAAATACAGCCGAGGCAATAACCGACAGGAGAATAAGCTTCATTCAGCACCTCTGTAAATAACTTTAGAGCACAAAGCAAATATATTTACCCACAGTTGTTTAAACGACTCAGTGCTGGGGAAGAAAAGTCTTTAAAGCGGGCTCGTCACGAGGCTAATGGTCTTCGACGACACGATGAATCCAAGTTGCCAAAAAAGCCGCGCGACACATCACTACAGGCTAAACGAAAAGCTTATTGATCCCTAAGACAAATGACAGTGAATATACTTACACACTGGCTCACAGAGGACATTTTTCAAGATTACACATTATCATCATGTGAGCATTTGTTCTCATCGCAGCTGCTTTTATTTATTTTTTTAAGTTTCCATCGATTGAAACACAAATCAATCAAACGGTTTGTGAGGGGAAGCAGAGATCTGGAGATGAGGAAATTGTTCAGGGAAGAGATTTGGGATGTTTCCCAGATAAGGAGGCAACAAATGAGAAAGGGATAAAGAGATAAACAGAATAAATGTGTTGCACCAGGTTGGGTAAAATACTGAAAATGCTAGCTGTATACGTTTTTGTTCGATATTTAATAATTGTTAATAATTTGTTTGGCTATAATAATAAAGTAGTAGTCATTGGTGCACATGGCTTCGTGGATGCAGGAATGGGCAAATTAAACGATGGGCTACATAGCGCTGCACACTAACCCAAATGTAATAAAACTGCCATTTTTAAAATATTTACATACAGTATGTATTATACCAATAAACAGGGCAGTAACTTAACATATGTCAAGCTCAAAAGCATGTATAACAGTTGTACTCTTGTTTTATAAATCTGAATACAAAAAGTTTGAAGCAACAAAAAAAAGGTGCAATGGTATAATGTGTGGTTCTGGACTTGTGTGGTTCTGATAAAAAGTCACTGTTTTTGTACCTGCAACTTCATTAAACTGCTCATATTTAGCTTTGTGCAACATGTTTTAGTGATTACTTACATTAAGATCCTTCATGGCAGACAGCGTCTCTAAGCAGACTAAAAACATAGTTTTGCCTCCAAATTCTACTTATAAATTTTTACATAAAAAAGCAGCTCTGAGGAGTGTGACTTCCACTGGCAGGCCGGATGGAAGTCACCTGCAGGCCTGATGTGGCCCATGGACTATTTCGCGGATACCGTTCAGCGCTGCCTATGTCGGAAATGGCGCAATGGTTTATGGGATTGTTTGGGGGCAACCGAAAAAGTCAATGATGGGACAGGTTCTCAAACTTTAAAGATTGGATTGTTGCACATTTTAAAGTGTTTCTTTTGATTTGTGAGGTACCAACTTTTAATCAGAAAAAGGACACACTTGTGCAGAACTTTTACGCTGCTCAAATGTTGGGATTAATGCCTAAAATAGCAATCTGAAGATACAAAATAGATGTAAGGTTATACTGTTGTACAATAAACTCACATTAAATATAATGTGTTAATTAATATAGTACCTCACAACACCAAATCTATTGCCAGAGAAAATCCCAGTATACAGTGAGCACTTCAACAGCATTATGCTCAGAGGGGCTGAGTGATAAATATATAATCTACATATAATCTATGATTTATTCTATACTGAGTATAAAACCTCCTTCTTGGCTACACATTAAATTTGGCATAAATATAATAAGGCATAATATAATATTAAAATACAAGTTTTTGTTTTAGTGGTGGTAAATGTAGTCTTCTGTATGGTGTATATTATTGTTAATAAATAAACCGTACACATTATATAGATGTGGTCAAGTTTTAAGATAGTCCATACCTATATTTGTAATATTAAGTGGTCAAAATGATCTGTAGTCGGGGAATATGATCCACAGCCAATCACTGTAAACCACAACATATTTAGTACAAGAACTAATAGGCCAAGTGGTGACTGAATTTTTTGGTTTTAATTTTTTTATATATTCTAACTTATTTTCATGTATCTGCTGTGCATATACACAAGTAATACACAGCACAGCGATCTCCACGACCTATTTTCACTCATTGTCATTCATCTCACACATCGGCACCAGATGCCCCCAGACTGGACCATAATGCTTTGTGCTAGGCAAAGATGGCGGTATCCGTGTAATAAGGGATGTCCTGATCCAGATTTTTTGGCTCCCGATACAATCCAATTTTTTTTAATGATTAGTCTTTCCAATACCAATCCGATAGCTTTATTTCTTTATTTCTTTCCAAGTGACAAGGTTGGTAGTATTAAAGCGAGCCCTGCTGTTCCCACCATGAGAAACATCCAGTTTGCAGATTTTGCAAGATGCAGTTTCAGCATCATTGTTTTCCATTAAAAAGTGTTCCCACCCTGTGAACATGGTTGCATACTTGTGTGTGTCTTGACTTCTTAACGGCAGTTGTAAACCATGATGATGCTGAAAACTGGATCGGCCCGATCACATGACTAAATCTGATTCTACCCGATTTTCAAAAAAAATGGCCAGATCTGCCAACGATACTGATACTGAGTGTCTGATCGGGACATCCCTACCTGTAATAGTCCATGGGCCGCAAGTTGGCCCTCCCGATTCTATGCAGTTCGGCCTCATCCAGAGCCATCATGGAAAGGAAAAAATATTTTTTCTTCAAGTATTTCACTAATATGACTTTAAAAAACAGAATCATGTCAAGTAGAAGGAGCAGTTTCACACTTTGGTGAAATTTAATCCATGAAAAGTGTGTAAACCCTCAACAAACAAAAGATGAGATAAATAGGGTAAGTCAAAGAAAGACAAATAATTTGATATTTACTGATTCCAGCAATAACTTGTGTTGTATTGAGGATTTTACCTCAAATCTTCTTCCAAATAAATCAATAAAACACAAGTTTTGAGTTTCTCAAGCTTTAATTTCAAAAAGAAAACTCTAAAAGAGCACAACAAATGATGACAAATAAACGTAATTTTCTTGATAAATTACGAAACGATTTCTAGTTTAGTTCTTGACAAACTGTTTTGTACTAAATATTGATTAATCAAGTTATTGTTTTCATTATTGTTCCTTTAAATCTGTGGCATGTGAGTGCAAAAAGTAATTTTGCAGATGGTTCCTCTGAATTGATCGTCTTTGTAAAGTTTCTCAGACCAGACATCAAGAAAAGAAAATTAAAAAGTAATATTTAGTGTGTTGTCATGTCTTGAAAATGTCTGTTTCCCCCCATAACTCCTCATGACAAACAGCTGGCCTGCAGCAAGACTCACACACACAGACTACAAATACACAAAAGCCACACACAGACACACACAGGAAGGAGGTTAGATTGATCCAGGTTTAGCTCTCAGGGCTAAGAGTTATTGAAGAGAATCATCCCTCTGTAATCATGTTAGAGCCAACCAGACCTGCAGAATACACACTGCCGTGTGTGTGTGTGTGTGTGTGTGTGTGTGTGTGTGTGTGTGTGTGTGTGTGTGTGTGTGTGTGTGTGTGTGTGTGTGTGTGNGTGTGTGTGTGTGTGTGTGTGTGTGTGTGTGTGTGTGTGTGTGTGTGTGTGTGTGTGCGATGGAGCAAGCCTTCATTTGTTTTGTGTCCCTTTCCTTCCCTTCTTGTTGTCAGGCTCCTCTCAGAAATGTCAGCGTGTCCTTCTGTCAAAGTCGGGCCCAATCAGCTAAAAGACGCCCAAACACGCTGAAGGTTACGCTGTCATTCACGCAGCCTCTGAGAACGCAGACAGAGCTTTGGAGCCCCTCTTGTCACTATTCATCTCCAGGTCCATCTCTGACACACTCGTTTGTTTCTCTGCCTCATTCTCTGTCTCCTTATCTCCATTTCTTTTTCTCCGTTCCTTATCTCCTCCCACATCTTCACTCCTCTTTCCTCTCCTTATCTTTGTTCCCTGCCTCTCCTCTTCTGCTGCCAAACATCTGCTTCTTGATTAGCAGCTAATAGTTCCTAGTTTAGCACTTGCGTCACGTGTGACAGCTGTCATGTCTTAATATTTTTGTTGTTTTGGCAACTTGGCCCTAGGAGTGAGCAATATATTTCACATAATAAGGACTGTTCTTCAAATTGGACATCAAATATACATTTTCGCAGCAGTGTTTTAGCCATCTGCAGCTGATTAACCAGAGTTTAGCTCACTCCTCCTCTCATTTAGAAAATCCTTCAGAGTTTTTGTATCAGGAGAAAATGATAATGATGCCAGAAGAGAGAGTAAACAACTCATCAGAGGTTAGCGTGTGTTCAGAGACTGTAAATATATCGAGACACAGCTTATTTTTGAAGAAAACAATGCTATTGTTTTCACACTGTATGGTCAAACTGCACTTTCATTTTTGGTTTGGAGCTTATTAAAAATCACTTGTACTTGGACATTTGTAAAATTGTTTTGTTGTTTTTTATACTTGAAGGCACAAAGGTCTGCTGTTCATGGTTTACCACTGCATTAAGCTATAGCACGTGTCAAATCCGGCCCTTAACATTTTATCTATCACCATCGTAATATTTAAAATGTAAGAGTTTTATTGTTTTTGTCACTGTATTTAGTGCAGTCTTTTCTAGAGAGACTAGAGAGACCTTTATTGTCATCGTACAGATCACAATGAAATTACAGTTCAGAACACCCATTCATAAGAAGACAGAACAAACATGGGAGAACAGGTGCCCTGGGTCATGCTGCCACTGACCCTACACAGAGCAAGGATCTAGAGCCAGTCTCTTCTATTTTCAAGTCAAATAATTAGATTTTTAATGAGGATTTATTTTTTATGTATTTGCTGGATTGTGATAAACTGTCTAAGAAAGTCACTGAAATAATTGTGAGAAGAGTGTAGAGATGAAGAAATAAAGACTAATGATGTGTTTCTAAATGTAGTTGTTGGGTTGTGAATATTCTAAATGCTACATAAAATATACTTTGAAAAAAGGAAAGTGTGTTTCTATAAGAATCATTTGTTAGATAACATTTAAAACCAATATTTATTCAATAAATATTGACAGAAATTGGCCATTGGACCAAGTTTTGAATCTTGGCCCCCTTGTGTAACTGAGGTTACATATATATGAAAATGTTCTTATTATTTTTTCCCACTTTATAAACTTCTAACCTGAAAAGACCAGTGAGCCATGTAACATAAATATCTTTTCTGGGTAATCTAAAATGTAAGTCATGCAGATGGACCAAAAATCCATCCTTTTTTTCCCAATAGAACCACTCATGTTTCCACTAACTTGTCTGATGTATGGCTCTGGTTTTTGCTCCAACTTTCCTCCGCAGGTTCAGCTTTGAATAAGTTTGTTCTGCTTCTTCGATGAGTGCCTGAAACCACGGTCAAATACTCTCTTTGGTCCCCTCGGATCCACATCATCATCTCGTCTCTGTATGTGTGTGTGTGTTTGGTTGCTGGGGTGATGGCAGGGTGGGCACTCCTCTTTAAGCAAGAGTGTGTGCGCGGCTGCGATCTATGCTAAACTGATTTCACCATGGCCGCGCCAGAGAGGCTAACGCAATTACTGCTGGCTAATGGCCCCACTGACTAAAGCGGGAGGGGGGGGGGGGG